AAATTCAAGAAACCGAATGCATGAAGCTTCTTCGAGTATTTGAATCAGTTCTCAATGAAAGCACCAATTGTCGATGCAAATTTCCGTCATCTTCAATCTTGACGAAAATGCACCTACAAAACAATCAACACCTTTGATCAAGGACCTAGGTCTCACTAGCCCACGAGGTAGGGGGTTAGGCCAACGGATCTCCGATGCCTAAGTCAGTTTCTCTAAGGAGAGTAAAGTGTTTAGGGATTTTTAGGGTAGCAAAAGCTTTTGAAATTTGGTAGAATAAGGGGTATATATAGGAGGGAAGGTCTGGCCATAGTGTTAGGGTTTACCCTATATATGGCGACATCCTATTGGCCAAGGTTTATGGAGAAATATTCTCAAGATATTGAATAGGAAATAATATCTTGAAATGGAGTAATTATCCCTGATTAACTTAAATTGGGATTACTTATTAGAATGAAATCAATCTTCAATTGAGAATGTATTAAAGATAGGATTTGAGTAATTAATTAATGCTTTGACTTTTCCTTGTCAATGGCAGATGAGCTGTGGGCAATCGTATTCAGCTGCTGGGACCTTCAGATGTGTGAGCTGTGCGTGAAAGTATTTGAGGAGCCTGCCCATTTAATGAGGCCAATTTTGTCTTTCATGGGCAAAAGTCCACTGTGTCGTCTCTAAAATTTTTGGAATTATATTAAGCTTCACAATTAGTACATTGTCAAGTTCGTACACATATTTTGCAGCAATATTTGACTTTAGGCCAAAATGAGACGTGTAAAGGATGTGGACATTAGTATATGAATTCTCGAGGAATATAATACATAGTTACAACTTCAAGTTTGTTCTTAACATGATTTTCACTTGGAACTTTAGGCCAACATGATATGCACTCTAACTTTCAACTTTGGGTTCACATTTTGTGACCTCAAGCTCTTATTTAGTTGTGCATGAATTACAATTAATATAAGGTAGTAATAATTATAGATGCATAATTACACCACACAAGTTGTTTATATCAGTGTGAATATATATATATATATATATATATGTATATTTGTTTTTTTTTTTTAACAAACAATATTATCTAAACTAAAAGGGACATGGGTGGGCTTAGCCTCATAATAGGTTAGCAATGTGGTTCAAATTAGCTTTTGGTGAAAATCGATTCTAATACTTTTCACTTACAAGTGAAGAGGAATACAATTAGACCGTAGTATTAAGTGATTATATCAATGTGACTTTAAATATAAACAACCATTAATCATAAAACAATGAGTAATACTCATTACACATGTATTGCCGGATGTATCGCGTATTACAAATTATTAAACAATTAGCAATACTCTTTACACAGATATTGCCATCAGTATTGAGTATTACTAATGTGATCATATAATCAAAAAGGGTAAATCTCAATTTACTACCCTCAAGTTTCGTGGTTTTCAACATTTGGTACATGAAGTTTTTTTCATCCTAGAGTAAAACCTAAAGTGTTAATTTTGGAACAGTCTCATACATCCGTTAGTCTAGTTGTTAAGTCTCTTGTTAACTGATGACATGATGCCCATGTAGACAATGACTGGCGTCATGTGTCATTAAGAGGTCCATGTGAAAATTAAAAATTTTAAAAAAAATAATAATAAAAGGATTAAAATTTAGAAAAATTTAAATTAAAAAAAAATTCAAAACGGAAAAAATTTTTAAAAATAAAAAAATGAAAGGAAAAAAAACCAAAATTCATTCCCATATCCAGAAACCTCCTTCTTCACTGATCGATTCTACCAATTTCTTCCATGCCCTCGAAACCATCTTCACCTCTCTGCCCATGTACCCATTACAATCTTCCCTAAATAGTCGAACCCATTGGATGACCTTCAGGGGCTTCGTGGGAAGATCGGCGCCAGATTGGATGACCTGCTTCCTTCTTTGGCTATGGGTTCAGCTTCTTCATCGCACCAGAATCCCCCAAAAAAACCTTGTCTTTTTCAATTTTCAGAGAGTTGTTGGGGAAATAGAAGGTATTCCAACAGTGACAAGTCGTTGGATTCGAAGTGGGGTCAGAACAGTGATGAATGGGTTCTAAGATTTGAGGTAAGATCTGAACATAGATGAGAAATGGGCGTGGATGGTTTCTAGGTCGTAAGGTCGATTTAAGCACACGGTTTTTGGGTTTTTGGCCTGGATGGTTTCTGGATATAAGCACATGGCAACATAAGTGGCATCCATGTACAATGGCGCTGCCCATTTTCTTGCTACCGTTGACAAAAAAAGAGGGAGGAGTTCAATTCTACTTCCCCATTGTTGTTTATCAATAGAGAAGAAAGAGAGAAAACCCAGGGGTGGTGGAATTGGGAAATTGGCTTTGGTGGCTCTCGAAAATAAGAGGAAGAAAGAGGGGTTGTGAGGTGGAGGAAAGGTAAAGCCCAAATCCAGTCAGACTAACGGATGTACGAGACTGTCTCAAAATTAACACTTTAGGTATGACTCTGGGACGAAAAAACTTCATGTACCAAATGTTGAAAACCATGAAACTGAGGTAGTAAACTGAGATTTACCCAATTGAAAAAATAATAATTTTACGAGAATGGGGGCGAAAATAATGCACCATTCACATTATAATTAACTCGTTGGTAAACCAATTACAATCAGATAAGCAGTGACTTGACAACGTACAAACAATGAGAGAGCAACGCATTTTCACGTTGTCGTAGGAATAAGACATGAGCACAATAACTGGTGATGAAGAGATGGTAGAAAGAACAACAAAGCAAATTTGCAAAGGATTAAAATAGGAGTAGGCTTCTCTCCCCTCCTATTTCCCATCCCATTCTTTCTCCTTCTCTCATAAATTGTTTTTGTACTGACAATGTGTTTAAAAAATACAAGAAGATGAGAAAACCTGTAGTGAGTGTGAGAGTATTGCTTTCTTTGTATCAGTCTGCATACACTTTGTATAGGAAAATTAACACAAGTAAATGGCATGGAGTGAAAGTTCTAGCATAACACACTACCCAATTTTGCATACACTTTCACCTAAAGCCTTCATTTACACATTGGTTGCCCATTGTCAAATAGGTTTTTTCTATTATGCAAACGGAGTATGAATATAACGGGTTTTACACTGTTAGAATTTAGACTACTTAACCAAACATTTGATACAATGATATATCGTCACTTAAAAGGTGTGAGAATAAATTTGTTGCGAACTTGCTGTTCTCGAGATTGGAACCTAAGACATTTCACTTACAAATGAAGAGAAATATACATCAATAGACCAAATGTTTAACATAGAAATTTGAGTTTACATTATTTCATTGCATATGCTATAAAACAGAGCATAATCAAAAGTTTGATAAATTAGTACACAAAACTACCTTCAATTATGAGTCGTATAACAATCTCATACTTCATATTTTAAACATTGCAATATCATACTCATCTTATGAATTCGTTACAACTGCCATACCACTGTCAACTTTTCTGTTAATTTTTCTGTTAAATGCTAACGTGGCATGAGCCACCCATTCATTTGCTAATTGAAATAAAAAATTAATTAATTAATAAAAAAATATTTTTATTTATTTAACAAATAAAATTAATTGAAAACAAACAATTTTTTGTGGACCCCTTCATCCAAATCTCTTATCTTTCTCCCTCAAACTCTCCATTCTCTCCCAACGCTCACATGATCACATCTCTTTCTTCTCTTGTTCACAGAGAAGCCGAGCCCAGATGGCCACCCCCAGACCACCACCACAACCGTGTCGCTCTCTCTTCTTTTCTCCCTCAACGCTCAACTTCCCAGTTTCTCTAACCTCGCATCTTCTCGGTACAACAACACAGATGGATGCCACCACCACCTCGCGGTTTCCTGATGAAAATCTGTCAATTCCTCGTCTGATTGGGCGAGCCTAGGACCACGGATCACTTCCCCTTCATCTTAGGTTCAGATTAGAGCATGGGAGGCTCGAATCTGCCTCGATTATGCGAGAAGCCACAACCCAGTTTCGGGCTGACAAGCTCAGGCCGTTCTCAGGCCATTTTCCTACCACGATTTGCCTAAAAGAGTATATTTCTATTCCTTGTTCTGTGATCGTCATTTTGAGATAAAAATTTCATGTGTTTTGGTTGAGATTTGAGGTTGAACGGAGCATAAATTTTCTGGTCTTCTTACTTGCAGAATTCAGTTGTTGCAGCAGTGCAACCTGCGACCCAGACCAGGTCGACCCAATCACACGGTTGGCCAGGCGATAAAGCAACGAACGGACGACCAGTCGCTGCAGAAATCGCCGGCTAGTGTATGGCCGTGTTTCTGAGCTTGGCTTCTCTGTGAACACAGAAGAAAGAGATGTGAGCGTTGGGGAGAGAAGGGAGAGTTTGGGACGAGGAGCTCACAAAATTATTTGTTTTTAATTAATATTAATTGTTAAAAAAATAACAATAATTTCTTAATTAATTAATTTTTTATTTCAATAAGCAAATAAGTAGGATCTGCTCATGTCACGTCAACATTTAACAGAAAACTGATGGAGAAATGACATTACAATAAATTTATGTGATGAGGTTATGGCAATGTAATATTTAAAATGTCAGATATGAGACTGTTATGCGACTCATAATTAAGGTAATTTTGAATAATTTATCCAAAAAAATTCGAGCGAGGATTCTCTTATGGTTCTTATATCCATGCCACTCAATGTAGGAATTTAAAGTCAAAATATTGGTGCTTCCTATTTCTTCATTGTGTCAACATGGATCTTCCACATTATTATGACAAATCAATTGTAAGATTTAGCTCACTTTCCTATCATTTTTGTGAGAATTTAAAGTCAAAATACTGGTGCTTCCTATTTCTTCATTGTGTCAACGTGGATCTTTCACATTATTATGGCAAACTCATTATAAGATTTAGCTCACTTTTTAATTTTTTTTATTTACTTTTTATTTTTAAATAATACCGTTTGTTAAAAAAAAAAAATGACAATATCCACTGGCAAACCTATAAATAGCAATCCAATCCAATCCCCAAGGGGAAGGCCCTACCTGCGAATTGAGAGTCGATCATATTTCATTATTTGAGAAATCTCACAAAAATGGAACAGTTATTCAACAAGTTCTTCGATTCCGTCTCTAACCTTTTCAGCGGCAGCGATGAGATCCCCTGGTGCGATCGCGACGTCATCCACGTAAGTTCCATACAATACACTGCTCATTTCCAGTTTGTTTCCCCAGAAAATTCCCAAAGGAAATCCAAACGAAGATCTGGGTTCCTCTTTCATTTGCTTTTAATCTATTGAGTACCTCCTTGTTCATGCAAATTCTTCATTTTTTTTTTTTATATTTAATTAAAATTATTAGGGGTGCGAGAAAGAAGTAGCAGAAGCCAACAAGGGTGACTCAGATGAACACAAGAGCGAAAGCATAATGAGGTTGTCATGGGCGCTTGTTCACTCAAGGCAACCTGAAGATGTGCAGCGTGGAATTGCAATGCTTGAAGGTAACATTTTTCTTAATGATTATTTTTAATGGCTATACCTATAATCTGCATTTCATCTAATTTTTAATTTAATTCTGAAAGTTTTTACCTTTTAGGTTGGCTAAGCTTATTGCTTTTGTTAATTGGATACATGTTCTTAGTAAATTCCCTTTTATCTCTATTTTTTTATTTGGTTTTGTGCTTTTGAGCTGGTGTTTTCGATTTCTTTGACCATTGAATTTGTGATTACTTTCACGATTATTCATTATTGATTTTCTCTAATTGTTTAAAGGCATATTTGTCGATTTGGCTTCTAAACTTGTATGGAAAATTTTGAAAAATAGTCAATTTTAGAGGCACGAATTGAATTTTAGCCAAAGTTTTTAACTTCTTATGATTCTAACCAAAAACTCAGATAAAAAGTCTTAATTACCCTTAGCAATCCATATCCTTTCCGTTCGGAGGTGTAGGCAACAGTATTACTTAGCCTGATTTCTGTGTAGGCCACCCGGAAAACAGTCTTGCCTCCGACTTTGTCCTCTTAGGACTTTATCATCTTCTAAGTTGATAATTAGAGACTACTTCACTAAGCAGGCACATGTATGCCATTGAATAGAAAGAACAAGAATGAATGGTACCCAACACTACCTTTCGTGTTTGGTTTGCAATAAAATTAAGAAATTTTGAAGGAGATTTCATAAGCCTCCTTTATTTGGAATTCTATATGATCATGTCTGGACATGTGTGAGTATGTTACTTGCAGTTTGGATTCAGGGTTTTCTTTTCTTGGGTTTTGTGATGGGTGGTTCTGCATTGTGAAATGACAGGGAAGAGTGCTTCGTTTAAAATTGGACTTTGTGTGTGTTTCTTTGACTTCTTGTTTGGATACAAGGTTTTCCTTTTCTGGGTTTTGTGTTGGGTGACTTGTTTGGATACAAGGTTTCCTTTTATGGGTTTTGTGTTGTGTTCTGTAACGATAAGTGATAGAACAGGGTTTTCTCTAAATTTGGGGAATTTCTATTATTACGGATAATTAAGACCTTTTACTTGAGCTTTTGGTTAAAATTATAAGAAGTTAGTAAGTGTGGTTAAAATTCAATTTATGCATCTAAAATTGGCTATTTTTCAAAATTTCTCAACTTGTATAGAGATGTTAATTTCCCCTTGAACTTTAATTTTAGCCAATTATTCACTGAACTTTAATTTTAGTCGATTACCCCTTGAACTTTATAAATAGTCAATTTCTCCCTTGACACTAGATTTTAAAAAGTTTCATTTTTATCCACTTTGATCACGCGGACAACCCATGACAACTGTATGGGGGCAAAGTGAATGAAAAATTGGATGGATGAAAATTTGATGAAAATTTTAAAATCCAACGCTAGGGGGGAATTGTCTATTTATAAAATTTTAAGGGGTTAATCGGCCAAAGTTAAAGTTCAGGTGGGAAATTGTCTAATTATAAAAGTTCAGGGAATTGGCACCTCTATACAAGTTGAGGGGGCAAACCGACAAATACCTCCTGTTTAAAAGTGTTGCCAAAGTTATATGACATAGTGTTGTGTAACTCTAGTGTTTGCCAATTTGGTAACATTTTTGGGTCAATCTATTAATCATCTCGTTTTTACATTTTAGTTCTTGTGTTTGAGATATGAGGAAAGTATACCAGAACAAAAGGGATGGAGAAGGGTGGTGGGAGAGCAGGGAAGAAATAGAGAACAACGAATAAAAACTAAATCTTGAAAAGTGAAAATAACTTAGATTAAGCCTTTGCTTATGTGTTTCTTGTGCGTCCCTCCTACTGTCCTTCCTCCATTCTTTTATATCCCTCATTTCTACCATGTATTTCCTCTCTGTCTCAAACACAAAATAAACAAAAAATGTTCATCAAACGGACCCTTCGTTTTTTGTTTGATAATTATTGAAGAGGGAGAGGGGAGATAGGGATAAAAAGGAGTAGAGAGGAGAAGGCATAGACGTGTTTCTTAAAATATAAAACCTAAAAACATGTTTGAATGGTTGATCGGTTATTTATTCTCACATCCCTCATTGTTCTTCCATATCTGTTTTTATGTCCGTCTTGGCATCTTTTAATTCAATACAGACAAAAAACAATAAATAAAAACTTTAGGGTCTGTACTGATTCTTGATTGTATGCCGAAAGGCATTCAACCTATTCTGCATTACAAGAACAAGCATTTATGTTGCTCCTTTTTATAGACTGTATATTACAGTGCGGAAATGGGTAGTGCCCATTTTCCCTCTCTTTTCACCCAATTCTATTTCTGTTGAACAAGGATTGATAGTGTTTGGACCCGATTTTACACTATCGGCCCAATCAATCGAGGCCGTAGAATGAGTAAAATTTTGAGCCGTTGGATTGAAAGAATTGTTAAGATAATTATTATTGTAGGATATATTGTGCTTTTAATCATGATGTTATCTTTTAATGGTGGATTATCTTGATATTTTCTTGTACAAGATAGATGAGATGCAAATTATATCTCCAACTTGAAAGCAAGCAATGCAGTTTAATTTGATTTGGGGTTCTTGGAATTTAGACGTGTGGTGGATTAGAGCATCGGAGCATTCTATCAAGAGTCCTAATACATTGTGGCATTGGTTGGCAAGTGGATATTGATTGGCAGAGAGGTTAATGCATGCATAAAGATGAGGATGCCAAATTGCAGTTGGTTAGCCACGTGTAAATCAACAAAGAATGTCCTCCACGTGTGCTTGGAGTTGGTCAGCCGTGCGTGCATATCATTGGCATATTTCAAATCAGGATGCTTATCAGCACAAGGATATATGCTAATAATTGGTATATGCTATTAATTAGCATGCGGTGGTGTTGTGCTGGTAAGTGATAAGGCATAACAATCTTTTGTTTCGCCTGAGATTGTTATGAAGGAGGAAGCTTTGATATTGACGGCAGCTTTACAACACTGGCCATCATGGTGATATCCTATAAATACGAGATGCGTAGAAAACAGAAAGCCCCCTCTCCAATTCAACACACAAACTGTCCTGCGCAAACTCTTGCTCTACACGAAACCTTTCAATAGCCTTGAGATTTTTATTTTCTTTTTCCGCCAACACATCTTCAGTTTGGATAAACAGCACTGTTGCCGTAGAATTAGCCAACCGCGAAGCACCTTCAGTTTGGATGAATAGCACTGCATTGAGGCC